GTGACCTGGGTCTGTTTTTCACATAACATGAACGTTCATTAACATGACTGGAGAACCAACGTCACACTTTCTTTTATGGCTTCGGGCAGAACAATCTGACACTATACTTAATCATCCCATTCGCTGGCCTGTCACTTTCTCCATCGCCAACCGCGGATACAATAGACCCTATTGAGTACATGGACAGTCCACAGAGTTGGCCAGTGCTGCGTTAGCTCATTAAGATCAGGCTGTATCTAATCAAAGGAATTATTAACCCACACAATTTCTGAACAGAATGTGCCCTCAATGTCACAGCCTGCCCAGGAGTGATGTCAGAGTGACTCAGATGTCCAGTCACAGTATTTAAATGAGTGCATGGAGGAGTGCACACACATTCCTTGCTGTGACACTGCAAGCATGTTGCTGTCAGATGTAAAGGCGATCACAAGTCAGAGAATTGTAAGTTCCTCCAATGGGCAATGCTGGGTATTTCTGTGTATGGAGCAAGGGACTGCCTGTGTTCAAGGCTATCTCTCGGCACCTCTTCACTACTCACTCTCCCTTCTAGGTTTCCTCCTCACATACTCTCTTCCAGTGTCCACTTCACTCATCTCTTTATGCCAGGGGTGGGCAAAAGGGCCTCCGCAGGCCGGATCCAGCCCGCCAAGCGAGTTGATCCAACCCGCGGAGGCCCTGCTGCTCCTCCTGACTCCAAGCCCTAATTGACCTAGAGCTGAGGGGGGAGCATGAGAAGTCTCCTCCCACCACCAGGCGCACAGGTACTTGAGGGAACCACCAGCTGTTCAGAACAGCTGGCGGTTTTCCGAGGGGGGCTTTGTGCACTCTCCCAGACCAATCAGGGTCTGTTGATGGGAAAGCGCAGAAGTGTCCTGGCCCCACCCCTTCTGCTTGAGGCTCTGCCCCTTCCAGGGGGAAGTTGCTCCCGGGCAAAAATTATTGCCCACCCCTGCTTTAGGTGCACGTTCTTCTCCTTCCACTTTGAATAAGTGTGTTTGGTGAAGTGCAGCA